CGAGGTTCCACTGTATTTGAATAGACCCAAAACCATCTCCGCATCCTTGTGGGTAACAAATTATTTTCCAGTCTACAACCCCTTTCCCACGGAAGAAAAGTCACAAAAACGTGAAATCAAAGCTTAAGAAAATATGGAAAGGTCTAAACTTCAATGACAAGAAGCCATGACTCATGATGGTCCGCGAAAGGAACAGTCGAAATGCAAATTACAAATTATAACAGAAGATGGAAAGGGCGAACCCGAAATATGAATGTTTATTAGGATAGTGAATGATGTCTTCCCAAAGCTAAGCAAAGTATTAAGAAACAGGACGTTAGAAACAAAGAAAATAGTACTGAACTGTTACGTGACATCGTTCATTCTTCCCCTCACAGATGAAAAAGAGACTTCAAATGGCAGAAATGTGGTTTTACAGAAGGATGGTTTAGAATACCATGTACTAAATGTATAGCAACGAAGTTTGGGCACCTCGGCGTGGTGTAATGGTTAGCGAGCTTGTCTCGCTAGAACATATTACGACTGAGTAGTGAGTTCGATCCTCACTGGGTGCGTGCCACATCAAAGTAACGCTTAGAAAATCACAACGAATAGCAACGAAGTTTTAGAGAAAATGGAAATTAAAAAGGACACTTCTACTTAACATTAGAAAGGGACAGTTGAAATTTCTCGTGCACATAATGAAGAAAGAAGGATTAGAAAATTTGACACTCACTAGGCATAATGAATACAAGAGAGAAAGACAAGGCAAACTAGTTTGTGAATAATGATGGCAGAAAGCTACAAAGGATAGGAAAATGTGTAGAACCAACATCGTGGAGTGACACGGCATATAGAAATACCCAGCAGAAGGTCCAAGAGCCACTCAAGGAAGAGGATTACTGAACAGGGTGTGGGATATGAACGTAAAAGGAGGACATTCGAAGAGAAAATTACGGGGATAACGATTGAAGTGTAATATCAGTTTGTCTTTGTATATGGCAGTGAATGCTGGACAAGCTTCTCAGAGGAAGAGGAGACATGAGACGATCGAAATGTGGTTCTATAGAAGAACGCAGTGGATAACTGAGATGTTTCTGGGGGAGAGATTGTATAAATATTGCCTTTGTTCGGGATCAAATAGTTTTGAACGAGGGCAGTACACTCTCGGTCACGATGACTTTTGACTTCGTGCTACCGCAAACGATGATGACTTCCGTCTACTCAATGACATTTTTTAAAACTCCGGTCACCTCGTGTGTATGGTGTCCAGACACTTCCAAACGGTGAGGCACATTGGGATCGTGCCCCCCCCACGTATCGATAGTAACTAGTCACCCCCTAGACCAGTGATTCCCAAACGATGCGGCACCCTTCACAGATGAGGCGGAACGAGTGAAAGAAAATCAATGATTTAGAAACGGTTTTAAAAAATGCATATGCCAAATATAAATATGTCCTTCGTTCATGTGCCGTGTTAACACCACCCCACTCGACCTCTCTTGATTCAAACGTCGACTGCTGTTGATTTATTTATACGTCTTTATGAACTGATGCTCCAGGCCCTTCGTTATAAATCCACTAGCGCTTAATGCTATTTCCAAACCAGTTGAGGACCAATGATCCCTGCCCACTCGAAGGTGAAGCGCGCCAGGCATCTAATGTACTACTTCTATTCAGTCTCCTATGCTCAAAAATAAAGCTGACATCGACCACCACCAACATTAATATGCAATCAATGCCATCGGCTCTTCCATGCAAGAATTGGTTTACTTAGTCTTCAATCCCAGCATCATAAAGGAAGCGATCAGAAAAGAAGAAATCAAATTCTTGGATACGAAATAAAGCCGACGATTCCCAGACATAGAATGTGGAAGAAGATCATAAAGTAGGCGAAAAGACTAAAATGGAGAAAAGAGAGAAAGTCTTGACAAAATCAACCTCGTCCTCCACCAACATTATTATGCAGTCAATGCCCTCGATTCTTCTATGCAAGAATTGGTCTACTTAGTCATCAACCCCATCATCGTAAAAGAAGCGATCAGAAAAGAAGAGTTCAAATTTTTGGATATGAGATAAATCAGACGATTCCCAGACATTGAAAGTGGAAGGAGATCAATCGACCTCGATTGATTCAAACGTCAAATGCTGTTGATTTATTTATACGTTTTTATGAACTGATGCTCCAAGCACTGTGTTATAAATCCACTAGCGCTTAATGCTATTTCCAAACCAACATAGACATATATTAGGTTGGTGCAAAAATAATGACGTAATAATGTCGTTTTTTGACGTATTTTTTAACGTCAAAGAACGACATTATTACGTCATTATTTTTGCACCATCCTAATAGTAGCACATAATATGAGCTTTTTCAGGATGTATTTTTATTTTATATTGGGGGGGGTCATTTAGCTTGTCCTTTACTACATAGCATCCGATTGAAAGCGAAAAGAAAAATCGCCATCATTTATTTCAGTGATTCCCAAATGATCCGGTGCGCCTCATAGATTCGGTGGAAAAGGATAGCAGGTGAGGCGAAACGATTGAAAGAAAATCAAAGATTTAGAAGCAGTTTCAAAACATTCATATGCCAAAAATAAATCTGTTCTTCGCCCAGTGGTGCTGTTTTAACACCACCCTACTCCCGTGAGTTTAGCAAGCTGAAAGGGTTTACCATGTCATGAACACTTGGAGCCATCGCGCGGGAGATTTTGGATTTTGGAGATAGTTGAGGACCAGTGACGCTTGCTTACCCGAAGGTGAAGCGCGCCAGGTATCTAAGGTACTACCTCTATCCAGGGCCCCCTATGCCCACATACACATATATTTTACACTGGATGTCGGAGTGAACAGTTAGTGATCAAATATGCCACTTTGAGAGTTATTGTTATATATATTTTAAATAATGATAATCGAAATAGTAAATTGACAGTGATTCCCAAACGGTGAGGCGCGCTTCATGAGTGCGGCGAGCCTCATAGGGGTGCAGAGGAAAAGGGTAGCAGTTGAGGCAGAAAAATTTTTAGACAATCAAAAATTTAGAAACAGTTTGAAAAAATTCATATGTCAAAAAAAAAATAAATATGATTTCAAAATTTAAAATATTACGGTGGAGTAATGGATGTCGGCTCGGATTGAGGAATCGGAGAGTCGAGTTCGAATTCTAGTCGAATCCATTGCATTCACTTACGCGCTAATACCCTTGGGAAAGGTATGACCCCTCTTCTCCTCCCCACACCCAGCTATGAGTTCTATAACTTTGGATGGCAACTGGTCTACCACAGAAAGAAATGGCAACCAGGAAAAAATCTGCTTCGTGTTATGAAATCTTACTCATAATAATAATAATGGACTATTCCATACTTAATAAATACTGCGCCTCAGTCAGTAGTTCAAGTCGAGTCAGTAGTTCAAGTCGAGTCAGAGGCAGTCCAAAACAGAGTCGCGTTCAGACAATTACTGCAAGACATTGGAATAGTGATACTGGTCGAGACACATTGTTCTCTCTACTAAACCTGATTGTTCATACTGACACTTTTACGTCTCTGTATATATTCCTGTTTGTAATACATCAGTGTTATTCCATACCTGTGTTCGAGTTCTTCTTTATTGGTTCTACCTTGGAGTATCACCGTGGTACAAGGAACCGGACCATAGCACTTCGTCAGTCATGTATCGAAAGATACACGATCGCCTAAGCGTGTAAAAAGCATGGCACGTAACTGACTGACTGGTTACGGATTACTTGTAATTGCATGCATGAGTCTCGGTATAATTAGTTATAAATAATTATTGACCGATATTTATCATTGTGATATTTTCGCATTATATCAAGTATTAAGAATATTGGCTCCGCAAATTGGTGAAGAGAGTTATCAATAATAATTTTATGACTTCGAATCCACGGTTATCTCCCTTTAACCCATTCTCTGGATCTTCTTTGCTGTAGGGATGCTTGCATCTTTTAGCACATGGCCATTGTAGTCCGTTTGAGGAACCCTTCCGCCCTGACCTATGATCTGCACCAAAGAGGTCCTTCACCCAGTTAGCACCACCCCACTCACATGAGCTTAGCCTGCCGGCTGAAACTGTTTACTGGGTAATTTGGAGTCATCACGTGAGAGATGGCTGACGACCAGTGATGCCCATACACCCGAAGGTACGGGATGCCAGACATTTTGTCATTGTGATATTTTTACATTATATCAAGTATTAAGAATACAGTAACTAGGGTCCGCAAATTGGAGGAGAGAGTTATCAATGATAATGTTCTGAGTTCAAATCCACGGTTATCTCCCTTTAAACTTCTCTCTGTTTTATATTTTTAAATGTACTTTTTATCACATGGAATTTGGTGAGGCACGAGCAAATTTTCATTCCGAAAATGCAGCCCGGAGAAAAAAGGTTTGAGAACCAATACCCAAGACAAATACAACCATGATGATACCCAACCACGAGTCTCGTGTCCGGGTAGATAATGTTCTAACTACGCAGTATATATAAAGGTACACGTTTATATTTAGAAATGAACATTTCTTATATACCTGTATCCACCCCACCAAACACCCGGTAGTTCATTTTACATTATCAATGGTAGGAATTCCTTTCCCGCCAATCATATTGAGGTGACAGGAGTGAAGTGCTCCTATCTGTTTTTGGAGATATTTCTTGCCAGTCTTGATATCATCAAGCAGAATGCACAACGGTGCTTTTTAACAACGTGATTACAACGGCCATGTCTGAGAGGCGCCATAAGTCTGAAAATTGTTTTAAATTTTTTTTTTTTTTTTCAGTTTGCCGTTTTTAATCAGCAGCAGGTTGGGCGAGGAGAGTGAAAGGTATTAAGGGTAAAGAAAGAAAGAAAGAAAGAAAGAAAGAAAGAAAGAAAGAAAGAAAGAAAGAGCAAATAGGGTTACGGAGCAAGAAAGAAAGAAAGAAAAATTGGGTTAGAAAGAAAGAAAGGAAGAAAGAAAGAAAAAAGATTATATAAAACTACAAAGGTAGGCGAAAAATCGCTGCTAGAAGAAAGAAAGAAAGAAAGAAAGAAAGAAAGAAAGAAAGAAAGAAAGAAAGAAAGAGCAAATAGGGTTACGGAGAAAGAAAGAAAGAAAGAAAGAAAGAAAGAAAGAAAGAAAGAAAGAAAAAGAAAGAGCAAATAGGGTTACGGAGCAAGAAAGAAAGAAAGAAAGAAAGAAAGAAAGGAAGAAAGAAAGACAAAAGCAAATTGGGTTAGAAAGAAAGAAAGGAAGAAAGAAAGAAAAAAGATTATATAAAACTGCAAAGGTAGGCGAAAAATCGCTGCTTGAAGAAAGAAAGAAAGAAAGAAAGAAAGAAAGAAAGAAAGAAAGAAGCAAAGTGGTTAATAAGAAAGAAAGAAAGAAAAAAAAGAAAGAAAGAAAAATGAAAGAAGCAAAGTGGTTACTAAGAAAGAAAGGAAGAAGCAAAGTGGTTACTAAGAAAGAAAGAAAGAAAGAAAGAAAGAAAGAAAGAAAGAAAGTAAGAAAGAAAGAAAGAAGCAAAGTGGTTAATAAGAAAGAAAGAAGCAAAGTGGTTAATATGAAAGAAAGAAAGAAAGAAGCAAAGTGGTTAATAAGAAAGAAAGAAAGAAAGAAAGAAAATGCTTGAGAAAGATATAATTTTGAAAGATCGAATGGAAGAACGATGAAAGAAAGATTATATAAATCTTTGAAGCAAAGCGAAAAAGAAAAATGAAGGAAAAAGAAAGAAACAAACAAACAAACACAAACAAACAAACAAAAAAGAAAGAAAATGATAGAGAAAAAGATATAATTCTAAAAAATAATAACGAGGAATAGAAAATGAAAAGAAGAAAGAAAGATTATACAAAGCAAAAGGAAAGTGAAAAAGAAAAACGGAGGGATTAGAAAGAAAGAAAGAAAGAAAGAAAGAAAGAAAGAAAGAAAGAAAAAAAGAAAGAAAAAAGAAAGAAAGAAATAAATAATGAAAGAAAGAAAGAATGATAAAATTAGCCTAATATATGAGAATCACAATTTCAAAATTGATTACTTTAGGAGAGCATAAAATATTAAATATTCTATTCCAGACTAGATGGGAGCATGTTGTTCTTCATTAAAAACGGATGAGCGTCAATTATCTTCAGTCAAAATTACTCTACACTAACGTAAAGTTGTAACAGCCGGAATATGTGTTCCATTTGATTCAAGATTAAATAAACATACAGTTAATGGAACTAGTTTACAGTAAACGATCACTTACACTGGTCAATACTTGTTCAGGTTCCAAAATAAGTAGTGCACCAACTATAGGTGGAAGTGTCTGGAAGACTTCGATAATTATCCTAACACGAAATCACAAGTCATTGTGACTGAGGAATTGAATGTACAGACTTTATTCATAACTGTAGTTCACACCAGATTATTTGCTGTCCCCGAGAAATGGTACGTAAAGCGTAATTACTTTTTTTTATCATTTCACCCCAAGCAAGGCAATAAAATCACTGAGATGCAATAGGTTGCTGAGTGTTAGAAATACTATTAAGGCGAGAAAACGATAAAAGAACAACAATTACGAAAACAGAAGATAACGATTGATATTACATTAAATTTTTGAAGCCGGAAGAGAGTTCTACAAGTAGGAAGTGCGATAGGAGAAACTGTTAGCATAGAACATATGGCTGCATCTAGCCAAATTGACTGTAAATTGTTAAGATCTTGTTGCTAATCGACTACCGAAATAATTTTTTAAAGTTTAGGTATCACAGAAGAAAGTAATAATTATTTTGAAAAATATAAAAATGTGGCACAAGGCCAATGGGGATAGGGGAAGACCGGTTTTCAATCGGTTTTATTTTAAACTTAGCTAACCACGATTACTAACCCAAACATATCTTATTCCTTACACCAAAACATCACTTTTTTACTTACCATTCTTACTAAAGCCACCATCATACATCAAAGTGTCTATGAAGTCCTAACTAGTTCCCATATGTACAATTTATTTGTAGGGGTGGAGAATACAAATAACCATTTTAAAAAATGAAACCCAAATGAATATTTACAATGAAAGTTCATCAGAACAATTACCAGGAAAATATTTATAGAAAAGGCACAGGAAGCTACATTACGGCGGTTGGAAAGTGACTGAAGGTAGGATGACAGGTCAAGTCCAATAACATTGCAGAATTAAAGTATACCCTTTCCTCCCTCTCTCTTTCCCACTCACTTTCTCTCTCTTTCTTTCTCTCTCCCTTTCTCTCTCTTATATATATGTAGTTTTTTTTTAAAGAATTTAAAGAATTAATGAATTTCTATTTTTAATCCGACATATTTGTTACGTCAAGCATTATTTTTATTGGATAACCGTATTGTGTATAATATCTATCGGCCAGCTCACTCACGATTCTTCTGTTAAGCTTAGAGAGTGATTATAAATTTTTATTGCTCAAAGTACAGTCCAATAGTGTTATAAAAATCTCCGTGAATTCCAGTAAGATATCTTTAATCATTTCTAACCTAAAATGTCTCAGAGCTTAATCTAACAAATGGACAATTTTGCTGGTACACTGGTTTTATATATATATATATATATATATATATATATATATATATATACCCAAGTATATAATTGGTATATACGGAATGAATTCCAATAACCAACAATTACTATTCTTAAAAGAGTGCTCAATACAAAGTAGAGCAGATATAATTATTTTTATAAAAAAATTATAACATAAGTATGTTATAAAATCACTACAAAAATAGTCATTTTGTTTCAACACACTGTGTCTTATCAAGTGATGATGTTTTATTTTCAACATCATTTTGATAACATACTTACAGCGAAATTTTATAATATTTTTTATAAAATTAATATATATATATATATATACATACATATATATATATATATATATATATATATATATATATATATATATATATATTCGTGATTATTGCCTTTAATCATTTTTTCCTTACAAGATCACTACACACACTGGTAGGTGTTTACTCTATTTTTCCTCGCCAAGAGCTAGTTCCTCCAAATTTAAATGATTTCTTTTTCTTCATTTAAATGGAAACATTCCAATTTTTAATCTGTTTACGAACTTATTAATCTAACTTCACAGACACATACACACAAATATATATATATAGAGAGAGAGAGAGAGACAGACAGACAGAGACACAGAGACACAGAGAGAGAGAGAAGAGAGAGACAGTGTGTGTGAGAGAGGATAAACGACGTATTGGAGAAAGTATCAGTCAACAATAACATGTCTGCCTAAGAAGAAAATAAAAAAAAAAGGAGAAAAGACAAAATACGTCCTCACTACCTGTAGAGATCAAACTAAATCAGACCCGTAACAATAACACACGCCAAAAGGCGCTCTGGGATTTTGAGCTGAAAATCTTCGAAAAATCGATCTTTATACAACAAAGATCGAAGGGGCACCAACAAACTAGAATCAATAATCAAATAATGTGCAACGATGCCCACAACAATTTTTTTTTAATGTCAAACAATAATACAAAATAAACACAAAAATAAAACGCAAAAAATATTAACAAAGGACAAAATTATTATCCCTTTTTCCTCAATAATCAGTTGCGTAACATTTATTCGGGATTATTGCCTTTAATTGTTTTTGATAGTTCTTTACAAGATCAATACTCACACTGATAGATATTTTGCTCAATCATTGTTTTCAAAGATTTATTTGTACTTTTATTTACAAATGTCAAATGAGAAACTGTGATTGCGTCATTCATGACTGTACTGCTGATACAGTTTTTTTGTTAGTAGCAACGGTAGAACGCAGTTATCAATAACGTCAGTAAGAGTCTCAAACTTTGTAAATAAAAAGTACAAATAACTCTTTAAGAGATCACACTCCTGGCACGTCTTTTGACCCGGAGTAGAGGTTCATCTATCATTTCTTGTTTAGAATTGGGTTTTCGGTTGCTTCTAAAAACTTTCTGTTACTCCCAGTGGTATTATCACTGTATCATTATCATTACTCATATTGGCATTATCACCTTGCTTGGAGTGAAGTGATTAAAAAAAAAAAGTCAGGGATCGATTTCACAATTTATTTAAGTTACGAACAGGACCCCCAATATAAAAGAATAAAAAAAAATTGTATCTATCGACTCTGACAAATTATGTGATTAAAAGAAATTCTGATCAATACTAATCTATAAAAATAGTAGCATAAAAATCATTCCCAAATTGTTCACCAGCGGACCATTCAACTTTAGTAGAGTCCGTTTTCGGTGTTGATTACGCAGCCAAAGTGTTTTTATTGTTGCACAGCGAGTTTTTCGAAGCGGTATCTTCGCAGTTTTCACTCATGCACTCTTTAATTTTATTTCTTGATTAAATAAAAAAAAATTTTCTCTTTACTTTTTTGCTCGTTTTTTTTTCGTTGTTAATCATTGTCTTTTCTATTTTCTTTTGAAATATGTTCATTTTTGTAATCTTTACTTGATATCAATATTTATTTTTCAATGAAGATCTAAATAAAAAAAAAGACAGATAAGAATAGAGGGATAATAATCGATAAATAGGATAAGAAGACATTATTTACATTATTCGGACTATTGTCCTCATCTTTGTCGCCATATTTATCACAACGTTTCGGCCGTTGTACGCTCCGGCCTTCTTCAGGTGGCTGGAATGTCGAAGTGAACCCTTTATTTCGCTCACCGGGGTAGACTGTTCTAGTTTCACGTGCCATGGATGTCAGTTATCAGTTATCCTGCCCTCTGTTAATTTCCCCCTGAAAGTTCTCCACTGCCTTAACCAGGTATTGAACTGATACACTCTTTGGGTCCTGTCACTAACCAACGCCTTTATCCACTGTGCCATGTGTCCTTGAGGACATCTGGGTATGAATTTCTGGGTATTATAAACCTAATTTCTTCAGCAACCATTTTTACCAGTGCTCATATTGCAATTTTTGCTGTTATCAAATCATGTTTTTACCAGAGCTCATATTTCAACTATGTTGTTATCATTGCTTTTTCTCTGGAACTCCTTATTACTGGTTCCCATATTGTATTTATTTCTATGCTTGGTCGGCTCAGGAGATTTTTGTGGCCTAGCATATGTGCTGACTTCTTAAGTTTACGAACTTTCCAATGGTGTTCCTTGTCAATGATCTCAACCTGATCCCACAGAGGGCGGTGATCTCCATTCTCTCTCCATATGTGGTCAGCCACGCCTAATATTTCTACTTCCCCTCATGTTACAGCTTTCTGGTGTTCTTGAAGCCTTACCTTAAGGGGACGACCTGTCTCTCCTTTATATTCCTTTTCGCAGCTGCACGGGATAGCGTACACACAGTTTTTAGTCATGTTCTCCTCTTTGGGGGGGGGGCCTTACTCGGGAGAGATATCTGCGTAGTGTCGTCAAGCTTTTGAAGGTTGTCCTGATGTTATATGGACCACAGATCCTTTGTATTTTCTCTGATAACCCCTTCACATAAGGCAGGCAGACTGTTTTCTGAGTGATGTTGTCCTCCTCCTCTTGTATCCGCTTATCCAAGTTTTTGGAGGATGCTGCCATGTACCCAGGGTAGTTGTTACGTTGTAGGGTACTACTTATACTGACCAATTCTTTATCTAACGTCTCTGGATCACCACTTATGACTTTTTCTCGGTGTTGCAAGCAACGGACGATCCCTTTCTTTACGCTGTATGGATGGTGGGAGTTGAAATTGAGGTACTGTCCGGTTGAATGTCGGTTTACGGTATACGGATGTCTTAAACCCATGCTCTGTTCGAGATATTAGAACATCTAGGAATGGGAGTGTGTTGTTACTCTCTTTCTCCATTGTGAACTGTATCGAAGGCCTTATTGAGTTCACATGGTCCAGTAGAACTTGAACATCTTCCTGGTGTGGCCAGAGTATGACGGTGTTATCTACGTACCTTAACCATATAGCTGGCTTTAGAGATATAAATTCTAATGCCATTTCCTCAAAGTATTCCATGTATATATTCGCCATTGCTGGTGATAATGGCGAGCCCATTGCTAAGCCCTCATCCTGTCGATATATGCGTGATCCCATTCCGAAGTGTGTTGTTTGTGTACAGAAAGTCAACATCTCCATCAGATTATCTCTTGGAATACTTGTCCGTTCTTCTAGGGATGAATCAGAGGCCAATCTGTCTCTGACTACTGAGAGTGTCTCCTCCGTGGGTACCTTGGCGAACAAACTCACCACATCGAAGCTCACCATCTGATTGGATAGGATGGGAGCATCTTTGATTATTTCCACGAAGATAGATATGAACAGAATGAGATAGATAGATGAATGAATAGATAGATAGATGAATGAATATGAACATTAAATTAAATAGATAGATAGATAGATAGATAGATGATAGATAGATAGATAGATAGATATGAACAGAATTAGATAGATAGATAGATAGATAGATAGATAGATAGATGAATGAATATGAACAGAATGAGATAGATAGATAGATAGATATGAACAGAATTAAATAGATAGATAGATAGATAGATAGATATGAACAGAATTAGATAGATAGATAGATAGATAGATAGATAGATAGATAGATAGATAGATAGATATGAACAGAATGAGACAGATAGATAGATAGATAGATAGATAGATAGATAGATAGATAGATATGAACAGAATTAGATAGATAGATAGATAGATAGATAGATAGATAGATAGATAGATATGAACAGAATGAGATAGATAGATAGATAGATAGATAGATAGATAGATAGATAGATAGATAGATAGATAGATAGAAAAACCAAACGAAATATTTAAATAGATACATAGATGCATAGGAAGATAGATGTGAATGTGACTGAAATAGATAGATAGATAGATAGATAGATAGATAGATAGATAGATAGATAGATGATAGATTGATTATGAACAAACTGAAATAGATAGACAGACAGATATATAGAAATTGGACAAACTGACATAGATAGATAGATAGATAGATAGATAGATAGATAGATAGATAGATAGATAGATAGATAGAAAAAACAAATAAAATATTTGAATAGATACATAGATGAACAGAAAGATAGATATTAATGTGACTGAGAGATAGATAGATAGATAGATAGATAGATAGATAGATAGATAGATAGCCAGTCAGACATACATACATACAGACAGACAGACAAACTACACATGTAGATAGATATACATATAAAAATTACAATCCTTTGCAGGTCATTTAAAGCAAAAACATATTTTTAGATTGTAAGAATTTTTTTAGATAATAATGGTTTTCGGTAAGAATTATTAGCTGGAGGATAAGAGATGGATTGATACCTTCCCTAAAGTTAGTTGCATATAGGTTAATTTAATGAATCCTACAGAAATTGGAACTTGGCTATCCGATTAACAATTCCGAGCTATTATTCATTATACCACCCTCACATCCATGCTTAGAGCATCTCTCCTTCTCAACCGCTCACCCTTTAAGCATTAACCAAGCTTGACATTGCTGAGATAGATATACACATCAAGTGTGTATGTAATTAGACAGACAGACAGACAGATAGATAGATAGATAGATAGAGAGAGAGAGAGATATGAACAGACCTACATAGATAGATGAATAGATAGATGAATGAATAGATAGATGAATAGATAGATAACGAAAAGACTGGGATAGATAGATAGATAGATAGATAGATAGATAGATAGATGATAGATAGATGAATAGATGTGAACAAGCATAGATAGATAGATAGATAGATAGATAGATAGATAGATAGATAATGAACGGGCTGAGATAGATAGATGATAGATAGATAGATGATAGATAGATAGATAGATAGATAGATGAATGAATAGATGAATGATGTGAAGAAGATAGATAGATAGATAGATAGATAGATAGATGAATAGATAGATAGATAGATAGATAGATAGAAGATAGATAGATAGATAGATAGATAGATAGATAGATAGATGAAAAGAATAGATAGATGATGAACATAGATAGATAGATAGATAGATAGATAGATAGATAGATAGATATGAACCATCTCATATAGTCTGACATGGGTAATTCATAATTTTCAATATAGCAATGGTTGGACAACGTTTATTAAAATTTCCACTCAAATAAAAACCATTGAAATGATGTCCATGTTCCCTTGTTAAACGACAAGAGACATTTTATGCATTTGTTACACAACAAAATAGTACGCTGATCAATCAATTGATTCTCCTCCATCAACTCTACACCATAAATGTTGAGCTGCATTCAGAAATAAAATACGAAAGTAATACTTAAAAAAAAAGACTAAAATGTGTATTTTAATCTATAATAAATATTGTTTTGTTTGCTCATTACATTTCTAAGATTCGCAAAAAAGACGGCGGCAAATAACATCGATATTCGTGCCGGAATGAAGCATAAAATGGAAATTAATATGTACGGTTGTACGCTGCACAGCCGGGTATATATTCCCTGCCAGATGAAGTAACTCGTGTCTATGTTTTAAGTTGAATAAATTTCGTGTCGAGACGAGGATGCCATTAAAGGTATAGCAGTGCCATAAGCAATAATGGATGACAGACTAAAGTATAATGTCGCCAGGAATACGTAAATGACTTTGAAAAATGACGAAACGGGTAAAAAACCCGGGAAAATCATGTGATGGCTAAGCATATTTTTTATTTTTTCTATCAGTGTTGCAGGAGCTTCTTTTGATGATTTAAAAAAGTATTCGCCCCACATTAATCGTAGTTTTATATCTATCTACTTATCTTTTCATGCAGTATCCATCAATCTGCCTATGCCAGTGTATTCATATCTATCTATCTATCTATATATATATATATATATATATATATATATATATATATCAGTCTATTTTCATTTATCTATCTCAGTCTGTTTCTATCTATCTATCTATGTATCTATCTACCTATCTACCTACCTCAATCTATTAATATCTATTTCTTGAGTCTCTTGATATCTATCTATCTATATTTCTTTCTATCTCAGTTTTTTTGCATCTATCTATTTGTCTATTCACATCTATATATCTCAGGTTATCTATCTATCTATCTATCTATCTATCTATATGTGTGTGGGTATCGAAATGTGAATGTAAGCATATCTATGTATATGTATGAGGATATCTGTGTGTGCATATGTGTAAGCATATCTATCTATCTATCTATCTATCTATCTATCTGTCTGTGTGCATGCGTATGTAAGCATGTCTATGTATGTATTTCGCCTATCTATATATATGTGTAAGCATATCTATCTATCTATCTATCTATCTATCTATCTATCTGTCTGTCTGTCTGTCTGCCTGTATATCTATCTATTTATCTATCTATTTGTCTCTTTATGTTTGTATGTAAGTATAAATACATTACTAAATCTGAGGGCTGTCGAGAAAACATTCAGTAATTTTGAATATCTTTAGAATCTATTGCACGGACCTAATGCTGCTTGGCGCCTAATTAGAAGAGGCCATTCCTAGCGCGCACAAATAAACAGACACTCTCCCATAAGATTGTTCGGTTGGAAGCGAGATTTGATTAAGCGAACCTGTGTATAGTGTCGCCTGTCATCACGGCGATGCGTCTGCCGATTCTTGGCGTCTAGTTTATCCCTGTTTTGGACACAAATCATATCGTTCGCGTCTGTCCTCTTCTTCCGATGTACACTTCCTGTTTTGGGCAGAAATCATATCGTTCACTTCTGTCCACTTCTTCGTGTGTACACTTCCCGTTTTGGGCAACAACATATCGTTCACGTCTGTCCACTTCTTCCGATGTACACTTCCTGTTTTGGGCACAAATCATATCGTTCGCGTCTGTCCACTTCTTCCGATGTACACTTCCTGTTTTGGGCACAAATCATATCGTTCGCGTCTGTCCACTTCTTCCGATGTACACTTCCTGTTTTGGGCACAAATCATATCGTTCGCGTCTGTCCACTTCTTCCGATGTACACTTCCTGTTTTGGGCACAAATCATATCGTTCGCGTCTGTCCACTTCTTCATGTATACACATTTGGCTAAATGGAGATTTCACCCCGAGGACGAGAGGAAGGAGATCATGACAAGGCAATTAATGGCGATCCCTAAAATGTTTTTCGTTTTGGAAAATGGAAGTCACACCGGGAGATTCGAAGTAGTCATCATTGCTCTAGGCAGGTTTCTTTTTACATTAATATTAAAATTAAGAACGCTTTCCAGATTGACCCCCCTCTCTCTCTTTCTCTCTCTCTTTCTCTTGCTCTCTTTCTTTCTGTCTCATTTCTCTCTCTCTTTCTCTCACTCTTTCTCTCTGAGCACTCGTATACCTAAAAATAAAAATAAACAATTAAATTTTTGCTGTTGTATACAAATACTTATCACAAAATTAAATCCTTACATTTGCCTTGATAAAATCCGAGACGCGTCAGCTAAGATAAATTTTCTTTTAGTATTTATTAATCTCTATATAAATAAATGCAAATGTCAGTGTGTCACACTTTTTCAACTTTACTCCTAGAGGCCATAGCCCAATATATCATACCATTTTGGCATCAGGCCAACACTGTGTGCAAATTAAAACATTACAGGCTGGATCTGGACCCGCAAAACTGAAATTTTGGATTTTCAAATTTTCATTATTGCAGTTGTTTCCAGCAATTTTACGTGATTCTTTTTTTTTATAACTTGGAAATAAATTTAGGAATAATCAAAATTGAAAATTCAATGAAAGTCACCTATGGAATAAAGATACTTGTTTGTATGGAAAGTAAGGACCAACATGCATCAAATTGTCTTTAAATTAAGTGGTGTCAGAAAAATTATCATTGAACTTTTAAAAGGTAAGCTTACATATTAATGCAGCAATCAATTTTGAGTTCTTCTCTAGTTTATTTTTGGCTATCACATCTACTCTTCCCTACCTATTGTGATGAAGAGCCCTCTGCAGGAGCTAGCTTAAATGCTACCTGATAGGGTGGATTTTAAGCTTTTATTTATATATATATATATATATATATATATATATATATGTGTGTGTGTGTGTGTGTGTGTGTGTGTGTGTGTGTGTATATACATATATATATATATATATACAATTATTCAAAAATAATAAATGCTAATCTCAGTGTGTCACACTTTTTCAACTTTACTCCTTGAGGCCATAGCCGAACATATCATAACATTTTGGAATCAGGCCAACTCTGTGAGCAAATTAAAAAAAATTCTGGGCTGGATTCGAACCTGCAACTCTGAAATCTTAGATTCCCAAGTTTTTTATTACTGCGATTGTTTTCGGCGATTTTCACGTGATTTTTTTGCAACGAATTTTTTGATAAA